AGGAAGTGCAACTGGTGGTTCCCAGAGTGGTGGAGACCAGAGTTTCTTGCAGGGCCCAAGAGGGGTGGTAGAGTTGGGCTTCTGAGGACAGAGCCACCAGGAGTCGGGGGCCTGCCTCTGCAAGGACCCCAGGGCCTACACTGTGCTGGGCCGTGGATTTCCAGCTACCTGGTAGCCTCTGCCATCCCCTCCCCATGGGACTCCTGGGCAGCCCTTGGGGACACTGAATTTCCCACCAACCAGTTGAGTATGGCACAAAGTTAGATTTAATTCGATTTAGAGAAACGAGGTGATACTTGTCGCGTTGAAGTGTGGTGAAGTGAAAGTCATTCACACTCCACAGCTTTTCTTTGCGCCTCCCGCAGCTGGCAGGCAGCACGGGAGCTCACACGTGTGGTGTTTCAGGAGCCGTTGTGTTGAAGACACAGAAACATCCCTTCCTCCTCTCCAGAGGATGGGCCTCAGCGTCGGGTCTCGTCGCCCAGGGGACTCCCTCTGGCCGTGTGCTCCACGGTGTCCCAGGATTCAGCCCGGAAAATGGGACCCGGGAGCCAGAGTCTGCCGTGAGCTCACCTCCAGGATCTGAGCCTGATCCCTCAGCACCTTGCTTGGATCAGGTTGTTGGGATGTGACAGATGACCGCTGGTCACACACTCAGTGGTCAGTCCTGACAGGTGCTGTGAGTCCCTCCAGTAACTAGAGAGCAAGGGGAGTGGGGTGAGGTCCCACCACCGGCTGATCTCACTCGGGAAAACCTGGACTTGTTCTGCAGCCATTTCCAACACTGAATTGTGTGAAATGATAGAAAACAGGTGCACTGGTCTCTGCCCTGGCCCCTGGCACAGCTCCTGAGGCCCTCGTAATAAGTGCCGAGGGCTCTGCGCACGTCTATTGTTTTACTCTTTGGTCTTTGGCCCTGTTCCTGACACCGGGCTCCTACGTCCTTTGGAACTTCTTGGGTGATAGGAGTGTCTTGTTCTAAAGAGGCAGCTCTGGGGGGNGGTCTTTGGCCCTGTTCCTGACACCGGGCTCCTACGTCCTTTGGAACTTCTTGGGTGATAGGAGTGTCTTGTTCTAAAGAGGCAGCTCCTGGATGGCCTCCGGATGGGGGTTGGTCTCCAGAGAGCGCCAGCCGCCATTAGAAGCTCGGAACTTCCAACCCCACCCCACCCTCCGGGAGGGGAGAGGGACTGGAGATTGAGTTAATGATCGATCAGGCCTATGTGATGAAGACCTACATGAAAATCCCCAACGTAAGGGGCTTGGAGAGCATCCTGGCTTGTGCACTTCTCAACATCACAGGGACGGCAGCTCCTGTGCCCAGGACCCTCCCAGGCCTCACCCCATGTCTCTTCATCTGGCTGTTCATCTGCACCCTGCAATGTGCTTTTTACTATAGAATAAATTGGTGAGTGTGTTTCCCTGAGTTCTGTGAGCTCTTCTAGCAAATGATTGGATCCAAGGAGGCGAGTCATGGGAACCTCTGATTTGTAGCCAAGTTGGACAGAAGTTGTGAGTAACCCGGGGACCTTCTTCTTGTGACTGGCGTCTGAAGTGGGGGGCTGTGTTGTGGGGCTGAGCCCTTAAGCTGTGGCATCTGCGCTAACTCTGGTTGGTGTCGGAATTGATTTGAATTGAATTGTAGGACACCCAGCTGGTGTCATCGATTGAATTGGACATCATGAGCAGACATGTGACAAAAAGTCAGGATTAACAGTGGAGCGCTTTCAGGGGGAGGGCACCTCACCATCCTTTCCCTTTCCCAGCCCCTTTCCTTCCCCATCTATTTCTGAATGGAAACCTAGACTATTTCTCTGATATGGGACTTGGTGCTATGGCCATGCTGGGCAGTAGAACTGAAGACACCAACCATGTGGCACAGGACTTGCAGAACACTGCAAGAGAGTTAAATGAGACAGTGCTTGCAAAGAACCTACTATGTGCCATCCACTTTGATAGGGCTTTACAAGCATGTTGGTGATGATGACGTCTGGTGATGTCTTGATTCAAGATGGCAAGTCCATTTCCCCCAAACCTATGGCTGACCTTGTAGGACAGTCCATCCATCCAGCCTTGATCAGTTAGGGCCCTGAGAATTGCTTTGGATTTAACATGATACTCAGCTGGAGCCTCCTGTGGGGCCTGTTTAATTTAGTCTCTTTACCATTTTATTTATAAAGGTAAGTTAATCAGAAAAGGATTTACACACATACCCCCCCCCCC